TGTGCACCGTTCTTTTTTTACATATTATTTTGAGTACATTTAATTTTTGTTTTGCTTTATTATTTATGTAATTTATATGCATTTTATGGGATAATTTTTGATCTATTACGTAGCCTAAATATTTATGTTGATTTATTTGTTTGATGTTATCATCACCTATTTTCACATTTATTATATCATCTTGTCTAGAAGTGAACAGAATTATTGCTGATTTTTCGGCGTTTATTTCGATCTTCAGGTCTTCTAATTTTTCTTTAATTCTTCCCAGTGCTACCTTAGCTGTTAATTGCACCTCTTCTATAGTTTCACCTATTATTGTTATTGCAAAATCATCTGCAAATTGTTCTAGTATAACTTTTTCTGTATTAATTTCGTGTAACAAACTGGTATATAAATTAAAAAGCAGCGGAGATAGAGGGCAACCTTGTGGCAGCCCTCTATTTGTTGGTTTTGTTAATTTTTCCTGAATTGTTTCCAAAATAACATTTCTTTCAGAGAGATATGTTTTAAGCCATTTTAGAATTTTATTTGGTACCGCGAAATTATCAAGTTGCTTAAGTAATATTATTATGTCGACAGAGTCGAATGCTTTAGTGAGTATTGTTGATACTACCATTTTATTGCGTTGGGCTTCAACTATTGTTGAAACCAAGTAGTTAATACAATCTATTGTTGACGAATCTTCTTTGAAACCAAATGATAGTGGAGGAATTAAATTGTTCTCTAGGCTGAAAGTGGTCAAGCGTTTTTTGACTTCGCAATTAATAATTTTAGGGTTAATATTAATAAATGCAATGGGTCGATATGATTTTGGGTTTGATTTATCTTTAGATGGTTTTAATATAGGAACTATTTTAATGTTTAACCATTGTTCTGGTATGTTTCCTTTTTCCCAAATTTCATTAGTTAATTCTAGTATTTTCACAAGCAGTTCGGTTTTAATTCTTTTAAGGAAAAAATACGACAGTCTATTTTGGCCAGCTGCAGAAGAGTCTTTTCTGTTATTAATTGTTTTAATCATCTGCGTTTTGCTAAGTTCCTTACAAAATCTTTTTTCGTCTGCTGTACTATTTTTCAATTAAACTATTAAATTCAATTTCCTCGTTAATTTCTTTTTTAAAGTTTAATTCCAAAGAATCTTTTGCTAGTTTGTTGTTTGAAATTATTTCAGAATTATTTTTATTTTTAAAGTTACCAGATATGCATTTAACTATTTCCCACATTCTGTTAACATTAGTGTCCTCGTTAATTTCTTCTAGCATGTCTTGTCTGTATTTATTAACTTCTTTTTTTCAATTCTGTTATGAACTCTCTCTCTCTGCCTTTTTGAATTTCTGTTTGTTCTCTAATGTTAAATTTTTCCGGAATTTTATGTGTTTTTTTTATTTTTCTCTTCGTATAATTTTTTGATATTTTCTGTCCAGTATGGCTTGATCTTTTTCTTGCTATTTGGATGGATTAGGTAAGATGTTTTATCTAGTGCTTTTTCGATTTTTTCCTCTAAACTACTAACATCTGTTATTTCGCTTGGATCTATTTCATTTAGAAATTCTATTGCTTTTTCCTTGCTTATGATTGTACGTGGTAAATTATCAGAGAATTTATTATAATTTTGAATTTTACATTCTATTAGTTTGTGATCTGAACCTAAATTTTCATCACTTGTTTCCCAGCTGACTTTAGATGCCAAATCTACCGTCGTCAGAGTTAAGTCTATTGCTGATGGACTTTAATTGATATCTTCCCATCTAGTTGGAACCCCGGTGTTGTGAAAAATTACGTCATAGTTTTCTAATAGGTCACTCACTAGATCTCCTCTGCGATCAGCTTTTATAGCAATACTATCCCATATCGGGTGATGTGCATTGAGATCACCGCCTAACATTATTGGTATGTTACTATGTTGAATAAACTTGAATAAATTTTCTAGTGGGGTTTTTAAATCTTCTATTGTAGTATCTGGAGGAATGTACATAGAAATAAAAATAGTTGGATTTTTAATTTTAACTGCTACTAGTTCAAGATCGACATTAGGAATTATAATTTCTTCTGCTTGTAAAGTCGGATGTGTAAGTATACCTGATCCGCCATAGCCATCAGGTCTACATTTCTTAAAAAAAGAATAGTTTAAGAATTTATATTTTTCTGTTTCTTTAATCCAGATTTCTTGGATTAAAAAAATGTGTATGTTTTTAGTTGTTAAATATGTTTTAAGACTTTCTCGTTTTTGTAATGGTCTAAGACTGTGTATGTTAAGTTGTGAAATATTTAGACTTTCAGTGAAGATGTCCATTATTGTAGAAAAGTTTAACTATTTTTATGTGGATTTATTCCACGTTGTGCTGTAGAAGTGTTGTAAAAAAGTTGTGTAGTTGTTTTGACATTGTCTGAATTCGCTCTGCTTCGGATACTGCATGTGGGTTGTTTGTTATTACAGTTACCTGTTCAAGGATGTGTTCCTCTTGAGGGAACATGTTTTTAACAATGGTTGGTTTTGGCTTTGGTTTCATCAGTCTTTCGACTACTTTGCTGTAGTCGATTTTTCCAGTGGTTTCTACCTCTTGTCTGAATCCTGGGTTTGGTCTATTTGGACGTTCCAGTCTTGGGAATTCATCGATAGACTCCAGAATAGCATACCTGTTTTGTGTTTTCGGATAGAGCTCTGCTGCCTCTGTGAAAGTCATTTTGTTTAACATCATAGCTGCGTTGATATGTTCTCTTCTCTTACGTTCTGGACAGTCTTTATCGGTGGGTAGATGTTTGTTTCCACAGTTCTTGCATTTCACTGGGTTTCTTTCGTCGCATCCTTGGTGTTCTTCGGAGATATATTTCCCGCATCTTAGGCATGTTTCCTTGCTTTTGCACGCTGCAGCCTTGTGTCCAAGTCTCCAGCACTTGTTACAGATTCTCACAGGGTAGATGTATATTTCCGGTTTACAGTATACTCCGTAGATCTGTACCACTCTCGGTAGTTCCGGGCCTTCTACGGTAATTTTAACCGTCCTTGTGTTGATCAGTTCGTTGTCCTTTTTCGTCTTAATTCGTTCAACACCTGTGATTTTTTTGCTGCAGATTGCATTCAATCGAATTTCTCTTTCAGTGAACGATGGAGGAATGTCTTTGATGACACCTGTCGTTTCGGTTAGCATTTTCGGAATGTACGCCTTGTAGTTGTTGTTTTTCAGGAGTGATGCCGCGTTGAGAATTTTCTCTGTATCCTGTGGTTTTTTGTAGGTCATTTTGTATCGATATTGTCCTGCTCTTTTGAGCTCCGTGAATTGGTCCAATTGTGAATCATGTAGGAATTTTCCTACTTCCATTGGTTCCAGAAGTTTTTGTCCTTCTTTAATCGAAATTGGCTCGATGAAAATAACATTGTATGCGTTGTTTTTGATGTGTATGCTTTTATCATTGTTTTTGTTAGAAGTTCCAGGCTTTGTTTGTGTTAGTATGGTTGGGATTTTTAGTGGTTGTGGTTGTGTTAGTGAGTTTGGTGGTGGTGTTGTTAGTGTATTCGTCATTTGAGATACCGATGGTTGTGTTAGTGTGTTTGATGATGATTTTGTTGGTAGTGTAAAAGTGTTAGCTGTAGCTTGTGTTAGTGTGCTTTTAGACTTGTTTGATCTTGTTCGTTTCTTATCGCTTTCTTTTGTGTCTTTTTCTTCTCGTCTTTTCTTGTTCTGTTGAGACTGGTCTATCATGTCATCCTCCGGAAAGCTCCAGAAGTCGTCATCGTTGTCCATGTCTTCATCCGATGTAGGGGGTAATGGATATTCAACCATGTCCTTACCTTTATCTGGCGGCTCAGGCTGCCTGTTACTGTCCGATAGATCCATGCTTGTTAATCAAGCATAGATTACCGCTTACCACTATCTGTACACTTAACCTAACTAAACTTAATATAACCTAAACAAATACACCGATTTTTTCTCTTCACTTAGATAATTAATAAAGTAAAACAAATAAAGGTTCTTTCTCAATCTATTTAAATGAAATCACTGTAATCCACTTAAACACCGTAAAAACTTAAAAATGGCTTCCAATTTCACGCGGTTTTCCGAAGAGAACTTCACTACACTTGACTGGTAGGCAGTTTTGTGGTTCGCTCTAGTCAGCGGTCAACGGGTGAATGTTGATTGTAACTTTTTTTTTTTGGTCCCAAGCAAATCGATTAACGTATCCCATTCTAGTCGGATTTTGACAACTCCTTACTGGATACAAGAATGGGTACCATCTACCCAGTCACTGGGTAGATTCAGAATAGCGTGTACTACACGCTATTTCAAAACTACCCAAATTTGGGTAGAATCCACCCAGATCCGTCAAAACTGAACCTACCCAAAAATGGGAAAGTTGTGTTGGGAGCGACAAGTTGACAAATGAACAACATTGACATCAATCCGATCGACGTTGTTCATTTGTCAACTTGTCACTCCCAACACAGTTTACCCATTTTTGGGTAGGTTCAGTTTTGACGGATCTGGGTGGATCCTACCCAAATTTGGGTAGTTTTGAAATAGCGTGTGGAAATTTCACAATAAAACTAACGCAGTAAAAACAATACACGCTGAGGTCATCTTCCCCAAAATTTAATTAAAATTAACACAAAGGCTAAACGTTACAGCTTTTTGAAAGTGATGCAATTTAACTTTGGACACCCTTTAGTGTCATTATTTACATAAAATTACAACAAATACCAATAGTATAATTACAATTAATACCACTAGTATCATTGATCATCATATTCTATAATTTGCAAATTATCAGACTATGTGAGCGGTGGATGGCAGCCTTACGGTACTGAGTGAAGAATCTCGATAATTTTTTGTCTAAATTCTAGATCTCGGCAAACCAAATTTTACTAGGATGTCACTATATGTGACGATTGCTTGCTAAGTCTAGGTAAACGTAATTTATACTTTAATAAAAAAAAAAAAGAACGGATTTCAAGGATGTGATAACATATTAACTTAAGCAGTCATTCAAAAATGAACCTGTATTGAAGACCTTACACCTACCGTATTATAAATCTCAGCTAACCGATGGATTTGTACTACCGGCAAAAGGCAACTCACTTATCCGTTTACTTTTTTCCCATTCTTGGGGATGCGTTTTTTTCTTGTGGGCATGCATGTTTGCAGATGAATTGAATGTCTTTGAACAAAACGGGCACTGATAAAGGACTTCTCCGGTATGTGTAGTCATGTGTTCCTATTTAATAGAAAAGAGAGTTAGCAAAAGACAAAAGGTGCGTCAAAACATTCCATCTTTACATACAATAAGAGTAAATTGTCTTTTGAATGCCTTGGGACAAAGAGTGCACTGGAATAGCTTATCCTTTTTATGCACGAAGCTGATATGACTTTGCAGTGCCAGCACATTCGGAGCACTCTTCCCGCAATACTCGCATTCATGTTTTCCACCTTCTCCGTCATGGCGTAGAACATGCTTCCGTAGGCTGCTGGCATTCTTCATCCTGGTGAGTTAAATTTGAAAAGAGATCAAGTGACAAATAGCTAAATCAGTACGTTGCAATCAGCATCAGCATACCATTTAGAGCAGATTTTACATTGCAGCCTAATTTCCTGGTAGGATTCGTTGTGCTCCATCCTGTGTTTCTCAAACTGATAGCGTGATTTGAAATTCTTAGCGCAGACTTCACAGATGTACAGTTCCACCGGAAGATGTTTTGATTTCACATGAGCGTTCAGTAGGGATGCTGTTGCGTATCTGAAAATAGTCGTTTGCTGTAAGTTCCTATATATGGTCGTAAATATCAAACGGTATGTTACCACGATTATCAGGACATGCTTCAAATGATAAAAAAAACGAGACTTTTACAAATTTCTTTATTATAGCTACTCATTCTTAACATTTAGCTTCTGATCCGCTTCCCATTGCAGTCGATGTTCCCGCTTTCGGTGGGCAAACATATTGGCTGAGGAATTGAACTGCCTTTCGCAGTAGGTACACTTGTACAAAGACTGACCGGTATGCTGGGCCATGTGCTCTTTCAGCGCCACCGGTCGTTTGAAGGATTTCCCGCAAATATTACACTCGTGGATGGGAGCCATTTGGTGGATATATTTTCGATGACTCTGCAGGGCACTCATACTCGGTGTAACTTTGCCACAATCCGAACACGAAAACTGCCTCTGATCATGCTCGTGGTGTCGTTTCTTGTGCTTCAATAAGCCTTGCATGTGCTTGTGCCTAGAAATTTAAGCAGTCTGAACGTTAATCTATACGAAAGATAAATTTGCAGTTGATAACATACCAAGATCCACAGTCTGGGCACTGCACTTTCTCTGGTGGCAGAATCTCGTCGTGCGTTTTCTTGTGAACTTGCAATGACTGTTTACTGTAGAACGTTTTCGCGCACATATCACAGAAGAAATGGAATTGTTTGAGGTGCACCCTGTTGACATGCTGCTGCATGGAGTATTTGGATGCGAAGCTGACGATGGACCGGAAAAGAAACAAGGATCTGTTAGTTCTGTTAAAGAATTTGGCTCAGTTTGATCAATTCCGTATGGTACTACATGGAAGTGAATATGACACAATAATTATGCAGTGCATCGTCAGCTTGCTTCTTAGGAGAGTTATAGATTAATCTTAAACTGATATTTCTAAGAAATTGTAAATTTGTATTTGAATGGGACGAAACCCGAAATCTGTCGAGACTTTCTACAAAAGCGAAAGCTTGACATATAGGCCCAAAAGAAAGACTATTGAAAGGTAGGACAGGATATCACATGAAACAGAATTTGAGAATGCCGCTATCCAAAAAAATGGTTTTAAAAAACAGAAGTTTAATCAAATAGACCCTTTAAAAAGAATCATATTGACCTACTAGGAAACATTAGAAAAACTCATCAAGGCACCCTACTACACTGCTTCGAAATAGTATTTTGTATTTGTTTTAAAGACTTTCGGCTCCGTAAAGTTTTATTAAAACTGTTGAGCTTTAAGAGACTTGAAAAAAAAATCCCTTATGCATCTTAATACCCCAACAATAAACTACACTCAGGTCTTTTTTTACACGGGGGATATGTACCGTGTAAAAAAAAACTACGAGATTTTGATTTTTCACATGCTTAAATGTTTTTAAAAATCGGATTTTGATGCCATTTGTAATTATAGCATGCTATGGTCCATAAAGACATATTTTAAAAATTTCTGTATTCACACCAAAAATTGTGATTTTTTTCTAAGTATGCCATTCGATAACCTATAGCTTGAAACGGATAATGTGATTGGAATCAAGTCGATAGGTTGTATCGTTGTCGAGAAATCGTTAAAAACGTACAGTGTAAATCGCGAAAAACCGTGTAAAAATAACCGTGTAAAAAAGACTTCAGTGTAATTCTAAAGAGAGACAATTCACGATAACAAAAAATACTTACGCCTTATTGCAACTCGGGCAAACGCACTTCCGTTCCTCCTCCGGCACGTGCTGCAGCATGTGGGCATTGAGTTGGTACTTTTTCGCAAACGAACGCTCGCACTGGTCACACTTGTGCACCAGCGCCTCCGGTGAACCATGCTTGAGCATATGAATGTTCAGATTCGTGCTGTTGCAGTACGACTTGTCGCACACCGTACACCGGAACGCATCCGGATTCATATGCTTGGTAACGTGTTCCACCAGCCGGACGCGCTTGTTGAACTTTCGCCCGCAGCATACCACCACCGGTCTCGTCTCGTGATGCACCTTTCGGAAGTGTTGCTTAAAATTGAGGAACTTGGTAAAAGACGTTTCGCAGTCCGTACAGCTCAACTTGCAGTGCTCGTTTATGTTCCTATCTTCTTCCTCTATTTGTTCGATGGATTTATGATAAATCTTTTCGATCGTTTCGGATTTCTTGGTGCGTTGCTTCTTTCTTGCTTTGTTGGACCTTGTCTTCGGAGATTCCGAGTCGGAATCATCCTCAGAACTTTCCGATTCAGACGTGGACTCATTCTGTCGAAAATCTGAAAGTTCTTCATCTTCCTGTTCCACCTCTAGAACGATATTATCCGTCTGGTCTAGTTCTTCACTAACTTCTTGCTTTGGACTCACGCAATCTGCCTCCTCCACTTCCAGCAAATATGTTGACTGTGCTTCGGTGTGATAGGATTCTTAAAGCATGTAAATTATAAATCAGTCCACGGTGCAATTTTGCACAAGTATAAACTTGCATTACCTGTTTTGACCACATCTTCCAAATCGCGCGGTACAGTAGACGATTTCATATCAGCGTGAGCTTTTTCCGCTGCGATGTAGAAATCGTGAAACTGGTGTACCTGATCCCAGCATTCCTCACAAACGTATTTGAATTGTAGCTCCTCGGGCTGCAATAACGCTGTATTTAATAAAATGTGACAAACTTGAACAATAGTTGTAACAAATACCTGAAACCATAGATGCTTCACCAGAATCGTTCCAATGCAGGAATCTAGTGTCTCGTCGAAATGCACTGCCAACAGGTTGGATTTCTCAATCAAACACACTGTGCAGACATTAACTTCCAAAAATTCCACTTCTATGTCCATTTTAGCATACGGTACACACCAGTTCAACTATGTATTGCTACAGGGAATCTCAGTATTATTGTAAAAAAAAAATCAAAAATGTGTAGCTGTTTCGGCGGTGCTAATAATTTGCATTATTATTTAACTAACGCGAATCCAAGAATGTAAATAAACAACATCAACGGAAACAAACACCCATCAAATGACAGTTTGCTGATGGTTACTGAAAAGCGAAATGAAAGGGCGTATTTTCATTTTCTAATTTGGGTCCAATCTAATATTACGTATCGCAAAATCGAGCATGTTTAAAGGGGAACAAACACGAAACGAAAATCAATTATTTTATTCATGTGTTTCATATACATATACATTTCTGCCAAAACATCAGCCTTATACATTCCATAAGACAAACCACATGCATAAAAGGTATGACGATAGTTTTGACCGCTTATACATTTCATTTGACACATCATTTTCTTTAACTTTTTGCAAGGCGTTTGCTTATTAGTTGACTCATACATTTTATGAATAATCAGCAATAGAAATTTGCCAAAAGGTATAAGGAGATTTCTATCCGTGCAATAATCAAGCCTATTGAAGAAACGACTTCTTGACGATTAAACCATTAAACTGTCGGTGGATGCATAACTGTCCCACGTGCTATGGGATGAGATAATTACAGTTGCGATCCGATATTTTAGAGATGTGATCGATAAAAAACGATATTATTAATATTAGAGATTATATCGGAGTGGATTCATTCAGATATGGATCGATTTACCAAAATAAAGATTATTTTTTACATTAAATTTGAATAAATCTAGGAGTTTCGTATTGAGTTTCGTACCCCTCAAACTACAGCCTTATTCTTCTTCTTGTTCTTGTTCAAAATTCTTGTTTTCTCCATACATTTTCGGAAAGACTATATTAGAACCTTTTCACTTATGGTTTGGAAATTTTAATGGTATTCAGTACACGGAAAGACGAAGCAACTCAAAATTAAGTCTTTTGTACTCATCTTGACAGCTAAGTGCAACCAGTCAAAATTGAGTTCTTTGCGAAGTATCCAATTTTGAGTATTTTACGAAAACTTCGTGTTGAGTGAAATGTAACTGTTTCATGAAGAGCGAATGTTGGATACAAAGTACTTAAAATCGAGTATTGATTTAGAAAATATTGAATAAATATTGGATGGTTAATTTTGTTCTTCAATGTTTATATTGACCATTACAAATCAGTTATAGTAGTTCTATTTTTTATTTTTTATAAACACTCATACAACTTAAAATGGGTGAGAATGGTACTCCCTGTTGCTGCATATTTCACACATCTTTGCTGCAAACTCGATGTCCTTTCCATATTCCGATAAATCCAATAGGACGTTGGAATTAAGCTTGCATCAGTCGGGGCACCAGTCCAGTGTTAGAATCTAGAAATGAATTTAACTATAAATGTTTGTACTGCAAAATTCAATCAACTATCCACCTACTCTTAGCTCTCTTAGCATGTGAGATGCTCCCAATCTTCAGCATTCCTTCGCCGATCACGCTGGCAAATGTGTTCGGAATAATTAACGCGAATACTGGACTAGCTACGCATGCCCACGTACACGGGAAACTGACATCTTGAGATCCGGACACCATCTATATCTCTTGAGATCCTAGGAATTAAAAATTTCAATATATCAGTGCCAACATTTCAAAGGGGCGTAATTGCTTTTGTAAACAATGGCTTTAGCTGTCGATTTCTCGCAACTGAAAGCTCACCTCTTCAAATTAACAATTCTAGATGGTAGAGGAAACATTCCCCTACTTGGTGGTGTAAATAACTTTCATGAGTGAGCTTTTATTCATGAGAAATCGAAGGCTAAAGCCATTGTTTACAAATGCAATTACGCCCCTTTGAAATGTTGGCACTGATATGTATTTATTTTTTTTTAACTTTCCATATGGGAGATGTAAACTTACCACATTTAAAAGTCCGTTATTAAGTTAATCAAATTTTTTCGAACAGCATTCACTAAATTAAATTGTTGATTTTTTGCTTTCGCCAGGCGACAAAAAACGCAAAATGCATATGGCGCACGCTGCGATTTTTCATCCAAAACCAAGTGCAATCGTAACACTTGATTTTGAATACTTTCATAGTGAAGAAAACAAAACAACTCCAAATCGAGATAAAAAGTTCGCAAAAATATGAACTCACTCAAGACTACTGTTTGAGTACAATTATTAATGAAGCGTAAGAGTTATCGTTGTACTTCAAGATTAAGTTTAAAGTAATCATCAATGAGAACAAAATTGTACGCAAAACAGTAGTGATAGAGAAGTACTTATTTTTAAGTACTTTTCATCTCGATTTTGAGTTATTTCGTCTTTCCGTGTAAGATCAAGTTATGGTTCCAGTTTATGCGGGTTATTGCGTGCTCTCAACTTAGTGTTCTTGATGCAATTCCACAGTTATTGATTGAGGGGATTAGAAGGAAAGGGGTGTAAGTGACTTTGATCGATTCGCTTCATCGAATTTTCGCTTTTTACAGCAACAGCTTTATAAACAGATATTGCACTATTTCTGCCACATAGTTTGATAAAGGAGGTTCTCATCTAGCATACAGAATGGCACACGAACCAAGGAATGTGTTTGCAGATGAATTATTAACGAAAGAGAAAGTCGATGAAGATAATCGATCAACCCGAATAGAAATTGTAATGTAGGAAACATCAGCAGACATCTTCAATACATTAAATTTTAACGTATATTGCTGTACCCTTAATGTATTCAGACTTCAGTGTGACGTCCAAGTACATAAAAATACATTAGCCTCAAACGTTACATCAGAATCAAACGTCTTGACGATGTAAAATTTGACATCAGAATACATCCAACGACAACAGAACCTAACGTTACATTAGAATCAAACTTCATCACGATGTAATATGTTGCACGCATAAAACATCAGAATACATCCAATGACAACAGAACCTAACGTTACATTAGAATCAAACTTCATTACGATGTAATTTGTTGCACGCATAAAACATCAGAATACATCCAATGACAACAGAACCTAACGTTACATTAGAATCAAACTTCATCACGATGTAATATGTTGCACGCATAAAACATCAGAATACATCCAATGACAACAGAACCTAACGTTACATTAGAATCAAACTTCATTACGATGTAATTTGTTGCACGCATAAAACATCAGAATACATCCAATGACAACAGAACCTAACGTTACATTAGAATCAAACTTCATCACGATGTAATTTGTTGCACGCATAAAACATCAGAATACATCCAATGACAACAGAACCTAACGTTACATTAGAATCAAACTTCATTACGATGTAATTTGTTGCACGCATAAAACATCAGAATACATCAAATGACAACAGAACCAAACCACAGACAAACAGACATAACACATTGAGTATTTCTCACTGTAAAACATCGTCGTTAAAACATTACCGCCATCTGTTGAGTACACTGTGGTGGGCACTACGCTGAACAGATGGCGGTAGTGTTTAAACGTCAGACGCTAGTGGCGGTACTACCAACTACGATGCTTTTAAATTGTTCGTTAAATGCTTGTTCGATGAACAACTTGCGAGTGTTATGTCTGTTTGTCTGTGACCAAACGTTACATTAGAATCAAACTTCATCACGATGTAAATTGTTGCACGCATAAAACATTAGAATACATCATATGACACAACAATAAAAAGTGGCTATGCATAGTTTTGTGACATTATCAATTGCAAATAAAATTGAGCTCTTTAGAAGAGTGGAAACGCTAATAAAAGTGCACTTAGACGTTGTATCGTCTTGACGCCTTCTGCGCACTTATTCTTCATTCACCAAGGAATACCGTGCCGATTCAAATTTCGGACACTTAAACTCGAATTTCGGACACTTTTAAAAGTTGATTATCTCGGTCGAATATGATCCACATGTCTTGTAAATTTTAAATTTTTTTGACTAGTGCCCTCCACGATCATCTAACATTATTACTTTGTTTCTAACTGGATGTAATATTTAATTAAAAATGAAAGTGTCCGAAATTTGAATCGTCCGAAATTTGAATCGGAACGGTATGTGCGATGAAGACACAACAACAATTTAACGTAAAACCGCACTTTTATTAGTTTTTCCGCATTCATAATCTCATAAATGTGCCCAATGCGCGATCCTCGACGCAATCATAAAAAATAGCACATTGCGATTACAAGGTAGAGCTTACCACCATTAACTCTTGCACGACTGACATAGCCTCAAATCACTGAAAGAAGTTTTGGCATGCCCTGTGGGCAATGTTTATTTGTATGTAAAACAATGCCCTGGTGACGTTACAGTGCAAGAGTTAATTAGTGTTTTAATTGATTATTATCGTTTCAATTGAAAACCGATTTTACTCTTGTTCTGTACGTTAAACATAACGTCGGCCATAGTGTGCTGTACACGCTAACTTGAAAGTACCCATTAATGGTTGAAAAAGACCCATTTTGAAGAAAAGTGGCTTAACTCATTAAATGAGTAAATTTTTTACCCATTAATGAGTATCTGTTACCCATTAATGAGTAATTGTTAATCATTAATGGATAACAGATACTCATTAATGGGTAAAATTGTTTAATCATCAATGAGTTAAACCACTTTTCATCAAAATGGGTCTTTTTTTACTCATTAATGAGTACTTTCAAGTTAGCGTGTATACCGCATCCGTGTCACGGTTAGAAAAAAGTACCCAAAAGTAAGTTCTTTTCACTCATCTCGGCACTATAGTGCAGGAACCCAAAAATAGGTAAAGCGGGTCAAAGTAGTTTTCATTTACTTGTGTGCAATTCGTATGGAATTTTCCACTAGCTTTCAACGCAAAAGTAAGTTAGTTGTACCCAACAGTAGGTAAATATTATTATACTCAACGTTGGGTTCCCACACGTTACTACCCCTGTTGGGTGGTTTTGCTCCTCCGTTTTTGACAACATTAGAAGGAGAAAAGAAGACAAACTAGTCAAAAGTAGGTAAAAGTGAACTGGCCGTTGGGTACTTTTTTCTTACCGTGTACGAATACAGCACCCACACGAATAAAGCCCTACAGTAAAAGTATGGACGACTGAC